GGCAAAAACAAAGTCGTGATAGATAGATTACATCATCACTATGTCAGGATACATATGTGTAGCACCTCGAACCTCCAGTTCGTCCTCAGAGTCTAGAGGGAACATCTAATGGCCTGATATTGATTTACACCGACATTTTGCGAGTAATGTCCATTTCGGTAACTTGAATATGCTGACAGACTAGTTAATATTTATTACAAACTGGTATGCCCTGTTATTCTACTAGCACTGTCTGATGCAGACCCCATTCACACACACACACACACTCATATCACAGGTCTTTTTACCAATTTAAATACAATGACAACACCAGCATAATATATCTAAGCAATACTTACTGTATAAGTACTAATACCTTATCTGTTAACCAGAAAGAAACCAATGGCACTACAACCCTTGCTTGCCCTCAGATTTCTAACCCTGTGTCTATATATATTCTATAACTGTATATGTATAGGTGATCAACCGTCTGTCCCTGGCCAGCACTGATTAGTTTTGGCCCCATGCTGATTTTTCTCATAATATTAATGAATTTATTTAATATTTATTACTTTATAAGAAAATCAAACAATATAAATTAATTATTAGAGATGCAACAGGCGGCCTTATCACTAACAAGCGATCTCTTCCAGGCAACCCTAATAAAATAAAATAAAATATATTAAGGGTGCAAGAAGTGAATAACCAAATCAACAAAATACAATTACAAGTAACACTAAACAATTATACAAATACCAAACTAAATACAAAAAAAACTAAACGCGGTACATGAATTACAAAAGTCACGATTGAGCAAGATAGGATATAGTTAAGAAATGTTTATGTAGAAGAGTTTTAAAAGATGTTAGGGAGGTAGCCGATCGTATGGACCGGCAGCCTATTCCACAACTTAATGGTGGAGATCCTAAACGAATTGCCTAAGAAAGATGAGCTGTGAGATGGAATTTACTAAAGCATCTATTAGAGGAGCGTAACATATAGTTATAAGGATCTGAGAATTTATATTAATTTTTAAGATAAGGGAGTTTTGGGCATTGAAAATAATTGAGTATACGTATAGAAGATATTCCTATCTTGAAAGAAGACCTCGGAGTTGAGCGTCTAGCTAGTAACGTGTTCTAACATTTATGTAAATATATTTATGTATATTTTCTATAGAACTCTGAGTAAGATTGTAACATTGGTATTTGTAATCTACCCAGTAGTAGCTTTCGTAAGAAACATACAAACATTCTGATCTTTCCATCTCATATAATTAAATATCAGTATAGACACCAAAGCATTCATTCAGAACCTTACAAAATCGACACATTCACCAGTGAATAACATAAAAATTTTATCTTTCAAACAAAAAACGTTTTATGGATGTGATAAATACAACACTAAATCCAGGTGCTTTGTGACGGGTTGATGGATGTTTTACAACCGGGAATCGAAGCCACGACCGCGGAAAAATAAATAACGTATCTTTTTATAGACTGTGTTTATCTGTTTAACCAAAAATCTAAAGTTTACCTCAACCTAAAGATATACATAAATAATAGAGCGATTTTCACAACTACTTATATATTATATATATCGCTTGCAACGGGGAACAAAGTCGTAATAGCCAAATCTATTTTCAGGAATAATAAATTATGCTAATGCTATGACTATACTATGGATACTACGTACATTACATATACATATATCAAATTAAAGCTATTTTTTCCTATGCGTATATATCGTTTAAACATTGTTGTTATGTATTTAATGTAAATAGTAAAAAAATAAGTTTAATTTCTCCCTCAAGAGAATTAACTGAAAATTTAAAGCGATAAAAGTAACACTTATATGATGTTAACGATTTAAAATAATGAATCTATTTGAATTGTATTCAAATCGTCGGCAATCAATAGTAAAATATTCAGCGAGCTGAGCCGGGCAGTGGGGCACTTCAAATGCTAATTTTTGATCAAACGTTTTAGGCGCGACGCGTTCGCGAATTTTAATGAGACCCAGGTTACATTTAAATAAAATACAACACCCCCCTGTAACAGTTTTACTTCCAAAATAATACGATGTCATAGTTAAATGTGTGCGACTTTGAATTATTACTTTAATTATGATTGTGTTTTTTTTCTTCTTAATAGACAAAAGAAAAGATAAGCATTTGCATAGTCAGTAAGTGCTACACAAAGGTGGTAAGTGAAAAAATGAACTTTCTCATGTTAAATAACAATGTGTGTAATGTGTGTAATCACATTCTCGATTCCGATAAGTCCAATATGTCATCACTTATATTGAAGTGTCACAAATAAGCAAAGATAGTTTTTTGTTAATCCAGCGTCGCAACCCTACTATCCCCAATTTTATGTTAGTTATAAGCTAATATATTAAACGATTCAGCTTCACACAAAGTGTTTCATTTAACATAATATATATAAACATATCTACAACAACCGCCAAAGAACTTAACTCACGTGTATTTAAAAAAAAATCTCATTATTTATTATAAAATAATCGTATTTGTGTTTAAATATGTGTTTGAATATCTCCTTAACAGCGTTAAGCAGAATTTATGACAGATCTTTCACACCTATAAACGCAAAGAGGCTGCATTCACATTTAATAACTCCCGTCAAAGCGAAGTTTCCAACTTTTAGCTGGGAATTTCTAGAAACTTCTAAACTTGGTTATTCGTTGACTCGCTACACCTTCGTCTTTTCTAAATTTAATAATAGTTTGAGGTAACTTGACAAATGGTATGAGAAATTAAACTGAAAGAAGAAAAAAGAAAGAAGCTGCAACATATATTTTCTAGTCCAATAAAATAGCAACAAGATTAGAGGATATTTATGAAGGTTTAGTGATGTTCAATGATTGCACATCTCATCCTTGAGGTCATAGGTTCGATCCTCGGCTGTTCTTTCTATGTGGGCATTGAACACTCGCTCGAAAACATCGGCATGCCTAGGCCACAAAGAAGCTACTTGCCTATTAGATTGATGATCATGAAACAGATGCAGAAACCTGAGGCCCAGACCTAAAAAAGGTTGTAGCGCAACTGGTTTGTTGATGTTCACGATTAATTGAGTATTTTATATAAAAACAATGTGCTATAATTTCTGACACAATAAGTATTAAAGTAATTAATACTTTGGAATTGAGCGCGGTGTAATCATTACTTTGACGTTTATACATTATCCATTACACAATTCGAAAACCAACAAAACAAGACAATCAAACGATTTATCGAACCAAAAACGTGAAAGTTTGCGATTGTTTGGGCGAAACCAGATATCAGTTCATAATTCGGGTCTTTGTGTAAACTTTTGTGTCCTGATTTGTGTGTTCGATATTAAGTCAAAGAGAAATTATGCGATTCATGTTAAAGAAATTTGGTTGAATACGCATTTCATTTTAACTTTTTATTAAAAGAAGATATCGGAAACATTAATTATTCTTTAAATATGTACCTAATTCATGTGAATTGTCGTTTAAATCAACTTTAAATATTCTGTTTTGTAAAAATATTAGATTTTATTGTTTAATCAATGTTTACTTGAAGTACATTAACAGTATACAGTAGTAAATACTTCACAATAATAATACCAAAATAAATAATTACAAAATTTAACCTCAGAAGTCACAATATTCAGCAGTTTTTGCTGCGCGTGTGTGTCTCTCTCTCTCTCTGGGTGTGTGTGTGAGTACGTGTGTGTGTGTGTGTGCGTATGTGTGGGGGAGTGGGTGTGTTACAGAGTAACAGTTATTAAATCTTCTGTTTCATCATAACTCAACGTATTCAGCCAAGTAGTAACCATTTTTTTACATTCATATTTAGATAGTGGGTAGGTGTTAATTTTTTAATTTAATTTATTATACAGGTAACAGCCCAGGAAACCAAAGAATCTTTGCGAGAAAGAAGTTGTCCATTGTGTAATACGACAGCAAACTTTATGTTTAATCCGCTTGTTTATATTTAATTCGGGGTCGTAACTAGTTTTATCATGTTATTTTAAAATTGTGTTGAGAATAAATAATTGACGAATATGTTTAATGTACCTAATTATTTTTAGTATCCCTATACTCTAAACCTCAGTAATACGTTTTTTAAAAGTTATCATTTTGTTTTCAATCATCAAGTACCGTACCCAAAGCCAGCGACAAACTAATGCTAAAAACATGCGACGCCGGGACGGGCCGCTAGTTTATTATAAAGTATTAGCATCGCCTATGCCATATCTACTAATAAATATTTGTAAGCTGTAAAAACGTTTAGGTACATTAAATACGGAAAAATACTGAGAAATTAATCTAAGTTATATGATAAGGTGAATTTGGATATCTTTATATTTTCTTTCTTAGTATTATATTTGATAAATGATCTTACCTACCGAAACTTGGCCGGTTCCTTTTTTTATTAATTTATTAAAATTAAGCACATCATACATAATGCTATATCTACAGTATAAGCTATCTTTTCTAAAATATATATGAATTATGGTAAATACAAATGGTACAATAAATTAAAAAAAAAATACTAGCAAAACAGTGGATTAACATTAATAGCAAAACAGTGTTTCGTAATCAATCATTAACTTAGTACACGATCATTAAAATAAATAAATACGATGAAAAGTAACTCGTATTAGAATTTACGCAAATAGTAATGGCATACGTTTTATTGTATTCACCCGAAACGAACAATAGCAGCATTGTTAGATTTTTACGAGGGCGTAAAACGTTCTACACTATGTCTGTTATACTGAACTAAATACCGATATATATATGTACATAGCATTACATAGTTGGCGCTGAATATTGGCTAAAGGCTATTATGTTTATTGCTTCACGTATGAAGTTTGGTCCTTTCCCAAAGAGTTCATTTCCAATTAAACAATAATTGATTCGCAGAAATAATGTTACATATATGATGCCAAGATAATATGGTATTATTAAATTGTAAAATGATCAGTATTTTGTAAGAAATGGGTGACCATAGGTGCTATATAATCCTAGTAAAGTTGCTGCGTCACATTGCGGGAGCAAGGAAAGTTTGTGCAAAGTTCAGGGAAGGACCTTGGCACCATTCGAGCAAAATGCAAGGCTGTGGATAGCTCACTTGCGTAATGTAACTGAAATTTATACACTATTTAGATATCCAGATTTCATCATTTCTACGACCTCAGTTCAAGAAATGCTTGACACCAGGTCTATTTGGGTTTGTGAATAGTTTGTGTACAACATGATGTAATTATTTTAATTTTTACTTTTAAACTATAGAACAAAAAACGATTTCATTTTACGTTTAGTTTACGCGTTTAGTAGGCTTGTCCCCTTATAATATAAAAATGGAATAATAATTGTTGACTTTATGTTTTCATACAAAATATTACAAAACTTTAATTAATTTCTATGAAATGATATTTTTTATTAACTCGTGCATTTCAAAGAGCATAGAATGTTTTCATTAAATCTCTGACTATGTTTTATGTGGCCGAGTGGTCAGCGGCAATATGGTGCTTACACTTTTAATACATTTTTAATTTCATACGTCAATGTTTGAAAAATAATCTACATTGAAACTTGTAGGAATTATACAACAAAGCAGTGGCTCTTCAATCATATATGTGTGTGTGGGTCTCAGGTTGCATACGTCTGTGTCTGAGCATGTGTTAGAGCAGTGTTGGCCTAGTGGCTTCAGTGTGAGACTCTTATTGTTTAGGAGGTTCGATCCCTGGCTGTGCACCAGTGGACTTACTGTCTATGGGCGCATTTAACGTTCGCTCGAACGGTGTCGTGTGTCAAGCACAGGAAGGTTATCTACTTGCCTATTAGATTGATATATGATCACGATACAGATACAGAAACCTGAGGCCTAGATCTAAAAAGGTTGTAGCGCCGCTCGTTTGTTTTTGTTGAATGTAAAGAAAACTCAAATCAGATGCTTAAATACGATTGAACGACGGTAGAGCATATAAAATATTAGTAGTTTCATTAAATTATTTGAAAACTTTCATTTATTTCGTCAATGTTTTAAAAGGGTCTGTTAACATAGTCGGAAAAATCGAATAAAACGGAAATTTCTAAGATTTTCTTATTTTAAATCTCAGCTACATTAAATATTATTCAAGTATATATCTCTTTTATTGTATAGGTAATATATTTATATATATCTACTTTATTTTTATTTGTTTGTAACATTCATGTTTACCATAATTGTAATGTGTTTTAGAAAAGATTGTAACATATAGTGTAGAGATAGCATTATATATGATGTGATGATAAATAAATCTCTAAGTTCTCTCTTGTTGTCTATAGCTATATTTTATTTATAATGACAATGGCAGCTGACACTTACGCCATTACTCCGATATTCATAATAATGACTGAAGTTATTATTACTACAGACTACCAAAAAGTCTGTTAATTTATAGATCTATTAATATTGGCAAATCAAATAAACTTTAGATTTTGATGTTATAAAATTATAATGAGAATGGCAACCGATACCAGCGCCATTGTTCAGATATGTATAAAATCAGCTGTGACTTATTAACTAAAGTTAGTTTCAAAACTGCAGATAGTGCTTAGAAGTACTAAGCTGGCACTAAACTGCACTAAGGCAATTCACAGTAACCCTAATTGATTTCTATTATAGTTTCAGCAAAGTCAGTTGGATTTAGAGTTGCTTAGTTCGTAATGGAAGGCTGTCTCATCTACAATATTCCTTATTAGCAGAACTTATGTAATCTGTAATGAAGCTCCAACCAAGTCTCGTTCTACAAGCATTCACCAGTTGATTTTCGAGAGAATCAAGACGACTTCAGTGATATGAAAATAAATAAAATAATAAAAAATAAGAGAGAAAGGCAGAACAAATATTAGCGCTCTTTCAGGTTTGCGAGTTTCACTTAATCATAATCTACTTCACGAGTGCACAAAACATTTCAACTTAAGTTTTTTTTAATTAGATTTATATTTTTACTTATGTAGAACTTATTCTTAACAGGTATTATAAGGTATTTTTTTATAGAACATGGGGATAAACGGATATCGGAACGACACTCTCAATGACAGAGGGCACGCGAGTGCGTTGCTGGCCTTTTAAGAATTGGTACGCTCTTATCTTAAAGAAAGCTGGTTACACATAGTGGTAGTGCGCAAAAACTGCCTTGAAAAAGCTCAGTTGTGGAACGACGGACGTCGAGGTGATACGGGTGGAATTTCGTAATCCGCCTCGACGTCCGATTATGAAATTATTAATTAGAACAACTCCTCTGAACGCTCTGCGTGGTAAATGTGGTAGAAGATGCAGTGTGACCCCACATCTCTTCGCAATGCTGAGGAATCTAGCCGCTCGGAAGGGATTGGTCGTCGACGATTCTAACCACTCTTCGTTGGATACGGTCAAGTGGAAGGAGCTGGTACTGGGGAGCTCCCGCCCAGAGGTGAGAGCAGTACTCCATATTGGGTCGAAATTTTATACAGTTGCCGGAGTAAAGTACCGCCTTGCCTGAGCACACAAAGCTTCTTGGACCCTCAAAGCCCTTTCGCCTTTCCCTTCAAATGACCTCGATTAGAGTATATAATTAATTTCTTTTAAAAAATACTTCAATTTATTGATACAATATGTTTCTTAAAATATTAAATATTTAATAATGCCCCTTCTACTAACCTCTGGATTAATCTGTGGAGGCATCACAATCTTCTTCTGTGGTGGAGATCGTAGCACCACGTTTTCATCTCTTATTATTATCTGTGGTTCCATAGCCAATAACTTCTTCTTACACTCCTGCATTTGAAGACATTCTTTGTCTTTCTTCGATAGCACAGACTCAGAAGACGCATGTTTAGACGTATGCTTACTTGACACTTTCAAACTATCCATAGAAACGGTCACTTTTGCACTTTCCTTACCATTTGACGAAGCCATCTTGACTGATATAACTGAGAGCTTAGTTAGTTCCACGGTTGTTGCTTCTTTAAACAGTTATTGGGTAAAATAATTACATTGATCTAGTTCTAGACTGTTTGAATATTATAGATATATTGCCAATCTATTTAGTATGAAGTTTAAAAGGTCATCAAACTGTTGTGACTTCTAAGACGCATTAAATGCTAATTATGAAAGTAATAAATATTGCTATACAAGAAATGTGGATATTATAATCGCATCATAATTGTAAACATAGGAATAACGCAAAATAAAAGCGCGAGAAGAGTCTAACGTAATTGTGAAGGCTTTACGGGTTTATTGCAACGTTTAAGATGAAAGGGTGCTAATAGAGCAATGTAGGTGTAATAGCTACCCTCCTGCCTCACCTGATAAGAGCATTAGCATAATGCGCTCAGAGCGAGATGTGCACTGAGAAATGTATTTGACATAATTCTAACTCAAATTATGTTGCTAGTTTAAAGCAGAGGCAAAAGGTTTTTGTTATATTGACATGTTCTTTAATATTGTGAATCATTTTTATGTTCTATTATCAATAGTTTTCGCTGCGCATGCGATAGATTTCGTAGGCATAAAAACACCTTTGGTAGCATTATTGTAGTTTTAGTTGGGATCCTTTTTCTTGCAATTAAAATAGTCTATAATCAGTGATAATGTAGCATTCAAACGGTGAAAGAATTTTTAAAATCGGTCCAGTACTTTTTGAGCCAATTTGTTACAAACATACTTGCATACAAATATTTCCTCTTTATAACAGCATTATAGATTTACAGAAATATTTATAATCCATACAGACTATGCCAAAACGATATAATATTAAACACATAATATACACAATATCGATACTGTAAATTCACTCTGCGAACATATAAATATGTCGATAGTGTCGGAGACAGCAATTAGTAGCAACGTCTTTGCACACTTGGATTCCAATTCCAGACCCGTCTGGTTTCCTATTTATTGTACCCACCTCTAAGACAAATAATGTTGGGTAAATGAAAGGATAGCATTTTATACTAACTCAGCAAGTACCCAAATGATTCTATGATTATAAAATACACATTTATAGTACAAGTAGCATTTTTATGTCAAATAAAGTTAATCACCCCATCAATCAAAAGGTAAAGTGCGAGCTTGTTAAGGTACCGAATTCATCATTCGCGTGGCATTGTAATTTAACTAATGCGTATTCGGTTTTTAGTAAATACGTTCCGATACGATAGTTTTAATAATATATTTCTGATAAATGAAATGGTTTGTTCCTATTATAAATTTAATTTACAAGTGTTAAACTCTTCGCGTGTTCCTATTCTAATTAATGTAAAAGGTTGCTTTGGCTTTGAATGTCACACTGTCATATATACGTATAGACATCTTAAGTGTTTATATGTTTATTTATTTGTTTATTTATACTTTATTACCTTAATCAAAAACATACACATAACAAAAAAAAAACAAATTACAAAAGTTATAAGGCAACGGGCGGCCGTATCGCTAACAAGCGATTTCTTCCAGGCAACCCTACAGTGGAACAATGAAAAAGAAACACCTACAGAGGGTAGAGTACAAGTAATGCAACAATTATTAACAAAAAAAAAACTCAAAATAACACGTTCCTATAACTAAAATAAAATAAAGTAAAATCGAAAGATAAAATAACAATAAAAATATGTTGAAACAAAAATTTAAAATACAATCAAAAGGTTAACAGAGTCACAATAATTAACGTATTTTTAAGTTTTTACAGTCAAAATAAAAATAAAATTTAAGATAGTCTTTGAATTGAATTCTTTCACACACGTTTAATCCACACTTTCTTACACATATACACACACCCACAGCCTTTGTTTTATTTTATTTACAACTTTAGTCATAATATGTAGTCATGTTCTGTATTTCCTTTCCGCCGATGGAAGGCTGGAGGCACCAGTCTCTCACAAAGAAGATACCTGCAGTATGTAAGCCCGTAAAATTCTATATTGTGTTACAAACTAAAAGGAGTATCATTAGTTATTTTCATTATTATCTTTGACTTTTAGCCCAACATCGTAATCGTATCGTAGAGTGCAAAGTTTGATTAATCTATTTTATCAAAATCACGAAAATATTTTTGTACACGAGAAGGCTATTAACGCGAGTCGTTCAATAAATCAGATGTGCTGATACCGTTACACTTCACGCCGTCAATCTATCAACATTCCATCAACGTTTGTATTATCAAGATTGTTAACAAGTGTATTTATTTTAGCACAAAGAGATGCTCGCCATTCACTCTGCATTGTTAATACTTGTTTGCTGAAAATTCATAAACAATATTGTAATTTTCTGTGCTGTACTACGCTATTATGTAGCGTTAGTATATACATATGTATATATAGTTACTATATCCTACTAATATTATAAACGCGCAAGTTTGTAGGTATGGATGTTTGTTACTCTTTCACGTAAAACTACTGAATGGATTTAAATGAAACTTTACAATTATATAGCTTATACGTCAGAATAACATATAGGCTACAATTTATAAAGATATTGTGTGAATTGTCCAAAATATCAAGTAAGTAGAAATCTACCATCTGCGAGCTATTCTGGCGTGCGCTGCCGAAACCGCTGGATTTAAACATTATGTAATGTATGATGAAAATGTTTCTCTTAAATAGTGCTACAAAAAAGCTCACCACAGTATATATCTATATCTTATGTGTAAGCCATTATAGCCAAAATAGTCAACCATAACTAAAATGACCTCTTTAGTTTTTCCCACACTTATAAATTGTAATTTAACATTCTAGTTTCCGATAATCTACAATATGTCGACTACACTTATATTGAAGTGTCACTTAGATTTAAGAACCCTTAAATAAGCCAAGTTAGTTTTTTATTAGCGTCGCAACCCTACTACCCCTAATTTTCGTTTGTTATAAGGTACGTTTAGACAGTTCTCACACCAAACCTAAAGGCGCAATGTTCCATACGGAATTATATTATTGAATATGAACATACTTTTTAATTAGCGGTCGGACAGAAGTCCCAAACTGCAGTGTTGCTTATCTGGTATAATTTGAACTTTAAACTTTAAATCTATCGTGATTAAAAATGATGTATTAAAGTGTGTAGTTAGTTAGTCACAGGAAATAAATAAAGTATTAAGATGAGATATTATTTTTAAAGAAATTAACTTAGCTAACTGTTTGACTGTATGTTAACTTTTTTTATAAAGAATAATGGAAAATCTATATATGGAATATATGGAAAATCTATATATGGAATATATGGAAAATCTATATATGGAATATCTGAAATATGAATATATGGAATATATGGAAAATCTATATATGGAATATATGGAAAATCTATAATATGGAATATATGAAAAATCTATATATGGAATACATGGAAAATCTATACATGGAATATATGGAATATCTACGTAATAATATAGTTATCGGCTGCATTGTTTTTAATAACACCAAACGCCTATTTTATTTTAGTATAGTAGTTTTTATTGTTCTAGGTAAATGCTCATAACATATAATTATCATAACAATGTATACAAAATATTGTAAAACTGTTTTAAAAGAGTAAGTATGGAGATTCTTGCCCATTCTTCTCCATATGAAACTACCTATTGAAAGGGGCAACTAGAGTTTTTTTAATATTTTAAACTTGTATTTTGACTTTCAAAAGGGCCTTTTAATAGGGCATATTGAAGTAAATGATATTTTTTTAATCCTGCGCCGACGAAGTCGCGGGCACCAGCTAGTACATAATAAAGGCTTAGTTTTGTCGTACCGGTCCGACAGCTGGAACTAAGAGGTTATTATTGGCAAATTGGAGAGGAGCATTTTGTTACTGACTTGGTGCATCGTGAAGAATTACGATATTTACTCACTCTACGAACATTAGTGTAATAATGCACATACAAACAATAATGTATTAGTGCCTAGACGGGGTTCGATGTTTTAAACGATTAAAACCAGTTGCACCCAGCTTCAAACAAAGTGTTTAATTTAACATTTATTTGAACATTCCTACAACAACCGTCACCGAAATTAACTCACGACAACTTTTTTATTAACATTAAAATCACTTGTCATGGCTACCGCTTCACTTTCAAAATAGTATTTTTTTACAATACTACAACATATTATAAACATATAAATAAATGCAATTATAAAGAACTAATCATAATAAAAGACTTAGTACGAAATTACATTTACATTATATGAGAAATCAATACCTCCCTAACCTAATTATAAAAATAAACATTATTTGGAAATTCATTTACATAGATGATATATAAACTGCTGTATTTAATTTTATATATTTAATTTAATTTTAAATTTAAACCTTTACCTAACAAATCAATATTCAAATAATATAATTACGATCCTTTATTAAAAATGGAACCTTAAGGCGGCTTCACATTTAAAATTTGTTTTATAACTAATTCACATAATTATCCTCGTTCTCACAGATTAACGTTTTCCACAGCCTTTCTTACAAATTATGAAATATTATGTAAGTAGCCTCGTTCTATTTGTAAAGAAACCTTATATCATAAATAGATTGGCAATATATAAGCACTAATTGATACAGAACTCACGATGCTTTTAATAATTTAGTTTGGTATTATCGTATTATTTTCGGTCGCGCGCGACGTCACCACTGGTGTAAGGCGGGCGGCAGACTGGCGGGCTCGCAGGGCCAAGGGTGGCAGGGTTGGCAGTGGTTCACAATAACAGAGTATTACCAGGGCCGTAAAATTTATTGATCATATAATATTTTACAGTCAGGAAAATTGCTAAAAATACTTTAAAAATTATATGAAATGAATAAAATGTTCAAAGATTTATAGTTTGAATTTTAAATTTGTTTTTCAAATTGAAAAAATAATATAATTCAATTCTTCTCAAAGAGGAAAAAAATAGTTTTTTCTGTTATTTTAATCGCATATTATTTTTATATTAAAATTCGTT